GGTTGTTCCCACACTGAGGATCATCAGCGCCGGGATCTTCCATGTCTTGGCCCTGCCCAGCGATGTGATCATTGACGCGTCGTACGAATGCCACGACGAGCTGCCGAGATGGTCAAATATGGGGGTTGCGACGTGCCCGTTCAGGCTGTGCAACTTGAAGTTGTTGGGCGGGCCGGCGAGGATCTTCAGCTCGGAGCGGTTCGGTTGATATGCATGCACAGTCCTGCGAGGCACCAAGGGTTAGAGTTGCTGCCTGCGAGAAGCATGGAAGAAGGCGACTTACGACGCATAGTGGCAGCCCGTGCTGAACATGACTGTCGGGTAGGGTAACCCGAGCCAGTGGCGGTTGTACCCCTCGAGGTTCTGCACCAGCCTTCCGACGAACTCGTTGCGCTTGCTTGCCATCATAAACCCCACCGAGAACCCCGTGGGGTGGGCGGCCGGGGCCACAAAGTTAAATCGCCGAAGGGGCCCGAGGGCTCGGCGACATTGGAGGTCCATGTCTAGGATGACACCTGCGGTCTGTCAGTGTGCTGCCTCGCTTGTGACGGCGGGGGCATGGCGTCGTCTCACCTCCATAGTGGTAGAGAATCATGTATCGCAGTGCATCGATCTTCTGGATGGGATATCGGTAGGTGCGCCACATATCATAGAGCTCCGGATAATTGTCCGCGACAAATTGGTTTGCCAAGTCGTCGGTCCACAGAAATACCTCCCAATCCGGATGCATGTCTATGCAGGTCTGCCGCACCGTCTTCCACTTCTCGATATGTGCCTCCGCACCCGCCCCTCCCATAGCGACATGATGGAGAATCGCCGGGACCCGGTCCTCGTACGGCGCGGCGCTGACCTGGTGGACGCTGTAGTTGGCAAACGTGATGTCGAAATCGTCGACCTGGGCCGAGAGCAGGAATCGGTCGGAATGATCCCACCAGATGACGGGAAGGGCGGCGAGCGTCCACAGCTGATGCAGGAAAGTGCGCGCGCACCACAGGCCGAGGATGCCGAAGATGATGAGGCATGTAAAAAGCGGGCGGGGCGTGCGGTGGACGCGCGCGGGCAGAGTGATGGCGCCCATGCTACCTGTTCATGGTATGGCGATGACGGGAGGGAGAAAGTCTGTCAAACAGAAACCGAGGAAGAGGGCTTCTAGGGCATCGAAGGGCGGTGGGATGATGGTGTGGGGAACACAAGTTTAAAAGAGAAAGAAGCTTTCGCCCGCATCGGTGGTGGATGGGGTCCAGGCGCCAGGACAAAAAAGCAAGGGATGGAAATTGGGCTGAAAGAATGGGGCATGGCGTCTTGTCCCTTGTGCCGGCCCCATGGTTTTCGTACTGTGTCAGCATTTGCGCCTTCGGCAAGCGTTTGCTTGCGGCAGCTGCAGCTCCCAGAGCCCAGGCCGCCCCTGCGCTCCCATCGCTCGCGCATTGTTCAACAGCGCGACGCTGTTGGCTCGCCCAAGGCCCAGACCGGTCCAGGGAAAAAGCTTGCTTGGGGCACCGTAGTGATGACCAATCTTGGCTCCCCATTGCTCCGGCTTGGGCGAATGAGCAGTCCCGAGCTGTCACAAGGTTCCGCGGCTTGGCAGGTCGGGATCCTCGGAACCCTGAGAAGTCCGCACCAAGGAGCACGGAACACGGTGGGGCTGTCGCGTGATACTCAGTAAGGGACCACCGATATTTATATTGCTACGACTTGTTGCTGCCCCTCTCCTGCGATGCGCGGTACTCTCTTCAGGTCGTTGAACCATACGTAGCGGCTCAGAATCATGTACAGATGACGGTCCCAGGTATACTGGCTGGGATGCTGTGCGAACGCCTCTCGCGTGAGCTGGTAGCGATGCCAGCTATTGGCAACAAGCGCGCGTACACCGTCTTTGGGGTCGGCCGAGTGCGTGGGGAACGATAGTGCTTCGAGGATGCGCCATAGAAAGGGTAGCGCCGTTAGTGGCATGTCGCCAAGCAGCGTATACTTTCGCGGCAGCGATGTCGTCGTCAATGTATACGCAACGGGGGCATCCGGGTGTGTTGCGGCGTAGTGGCTAGATCAGAAAGGTCAGCATCGATGTGGTCGCCCGTCATTGGCGCCGTTGGCGGGATCCATTGCTCACCTAACCGCAGCACTGACGGCCCTGTGGTTGATGTGCCCACTCACCCCACCTTCGTCAAACGTGATAATCTGACGCCTTGTCAGCTTTGGCGATAACGTTAGCTGGGCCCAGAACCGGCCAGACTCACTGCATCAACCTTCCATTTCAACACGTGCTCGTGCACTATTTTGGCAACGAGTTCGGTGTTCCACCACACCTTGGGATTATCTTGGAGTTCGGGGTGATCCATGGCGATGCATCGCTGTTCATGGATACCGAGAGCTCGGCAAGACCCTGCAAGCTCTTTTCTTCTCAGATCGCCGATGCCGTAATTGTTGCCTGCCATGAGTCAGCTGAAAAGGGGACACTAACGCGCTCAGCCGGGCACCGAGTCCCGAGCATAAGTAATCAGTGGAACTTTACCTGTTGACAACGCCAGCAGGCCGCCCGTGATGTCCTTGTTGCGGTCCAGCACGCCCAATATGCTTGGTGCGAAAAAGAGACACTCGTCGTCGGGATGTGCCGTGACAATCAGCAGGTTGCTGGCAGCGAGCAGCTGCGGGGGAAGGATTCTGGCATCACTTCCCACCAGATAAGCAACAACCCACTGGAGCAGGAGAGGAACCAGCACGGCAACGAGAGCTGCGCGGAAGAGCCAGCGCCAGGCACGCCGTGGGATGCTGCCCAACAGCAGAGCTGGCTTGGCGGCAAGCTGCAGCATCTCGAGCGGGCGCAGCTTTGACTGCTTGGGAAAGCGGAGAAGAGAAGCCGCAGAGAGAGGGGACGCCGAGGCAGTTAATAGCTAGTTATCAGGTCGCCGGTTTGTCGCAGCGAAAAAATAAAGGATGAACGCCATCGGGATTTGCTGACTGACGAGCTGGCTCTGCTCATCATGCAGATCTGGATGGACGAAACCGCACAGCGCTTTACGCACTGTGTACTTCCCGGAGCGAATCCGGTCAAGCTCGGTTTTCGAGAGCGCTCCCGGCGAGTCGCTAACGAGAAGCTGCCTGGCGCCGGCAGGTCTTACAGCAGCAGCGACAAACGAGAGCAGCTCCGGTGGATCCGGACAGGGTGCGCCACTGCAATTTTTCGATCGTTGTGATTGACCCGGTGACCAAGGACCAGTCGGCGGCCGGTCCATTATCATGGCGACTCCTCGCTGCAGTCTCGAGTGACAAGTGTTTTCCCTTTTCCTCCCTCCGAGAAGTGTTTTGTGCCTGTCCAGGACCCCCGGATCTGCGCGTGCTGCATCCAGGGCAGCCGGAAGATCTGAGATCGAGAAGCTTAAAACCGCCGCATCTGCCGACCGATCCGATCACACGACGACCCAGCCTCTGGGGTTGGCCTACATCATGTTTCTTGGCGATGCGAAGCGCCAAGTCGACGCCAGGCGGCCCGAAGCGGGCAGCTGGGCCCTGATTCTGGTGAGTGCCACAGTCTTGTTCAGATGTTGCGGGGTGGTGGAGAAGGTGTTGACAGCAGCCAGCTCGTCGTCCAGAACTCGGCGCTCGTTATGGTGATGCACCATTCTCGGAACGGCCCCACCGGTTCCCAACCACGATATCTCGCCTCCACCGCCGTCCTGCTCGTCGAAGCCATCAAGCTGGTTGCGAGCTCGATCTTTGCGACGGCCGATATCCGACAATCGAATCCCACCAGCTCCGTATCCGAGACGCTTCGGTTGCTCCATCGCTCCATCTTCGCGCCCGACTGCTGGAAGCTCATCCTCCCCGCCGCCTTGTACACGCTCCAAAACTCGCTGGTGTATACCGCCATCAGCAACCTCGACGCCGTTACTTTCCAAGTCACGTACCAATTAAAGATCCTCACGACGGTGCTGTTCAGCATCCTCCTCCTCGGCACCAGCATATCCTCCCGACAATGGTTTGCCCTCGTCTTGCTTACCTTCGGAGTAGCCATGGTGCAGGTTGCCGGTCCGCTCGGGGCAGAAGGGTGGAAAGACCGTCTCACGGCGCTGATTCAAGGTGACATCTTCGTCGAGGCGCCGGCGTCGAGCGCGATCAAGGGCTTCATGGCTGTTGTTGCCGCGTCGCTGATCTCGGGTTTGACGTGCGTCTACTTCGAGAAGCTCGTCAAGGACTCGCTCGCCTCAGTGTCACTCTGGACACGAAATGTCCAGCTGTCGTTCTTCAGTCTCTTCCCGGCGCTCTTCATCGGTGTGCTGTGGCAGGACGGCGCTGCGATTGCGCGAGACGGATTCTTCGCCGGATATAAGCCCATCGTCTGGCTCACCATCGCCTTGCAGGCGTTTGGCGGCTTGGTTGTTGCCGTGTGTATAGCTTATGCCGGGAACGTCGCCAAAAACTTTGCGGCGAGTCTGAGCATTGTGGTCAGCTATGCCGCCACGGCGATTCTGTTCAGGACACCGCTGACGATGCCGGTATGTGGGTCGAGATTTGCCGTCGGCTTTTACTGACAACGAGATAGGCGACCGCGGGTGCAGCCGTCGTGCTGCTGGCCATGTATTTATATCACAGCCGAGGGCTGCCGAGACCGGTATTGTTGCCGATGTCCAACGAAGGGCGCTCCGAGAAGTCGAAACCACTGCTGTTCGAATTGATGTCGCCCACGAGATAGAGTCGAGCGAAGGTCCATCAGGACTAACAGCAAGCCGCTCGTTTATATTCTATCAGGGTCCTGTCCCCCGGACGGCATTATGTACCGTCGTCGCCATGGCTTCTGGCCAGCCTCAATCCAGGCGTTCCAACACGTGGGCGTGTTGGTTGGCCCTTGCCCGGGCCCGGCCTGAAGTTGGTGTGGTGAAGGCCAGAAGCGAAAATTTGGCGGGGTTGCAACCGACGGGAGTGCCGCTTGGCATCGGTGACTGCACCAGACGCCACGAGTCAAGCTGATGGAGTATAATAAGGCATAGGCGGATATCAACAAGGCCCGCTTGGCTCAGTGGTAGAGCGCATCACTAGTAGAGGCTTTGTGGTTCAACAACCCTCTAGGTTCATGATGAGGTCATCAGTTCGATTCTGATAGTGGGCAAATGCAATCGAGCTGCGATGCCAGCTTTGGCAATCTTCTCTTGTCTTTCTGCTACGCAGTGATGGTTCTCCCACATCAACACAGCCAGGGTTCTAGCAATTATTGTCCAACTTTCTTCAGAATCCTTACACATCGGCAAGACCTTCATTTTTGGAAAGCATTTGCCTAGCGACATACATTGCCAAAAACCTAAACAAACGCCTATTTCTCCCAAGAGTGCCAGAGCTGGTGGAGAAAAGTGCAGATTGACGATTGTGTTGGGCCCGGAGAAACCCAGCGATGCGGGGTTGTGTGATACCTGGGCATGCTTGAATGATTGTTGCGGTCGGTACTTCAATGCTCAATGGCAAGCCTTGTTTACCGCGCAGGACTGTATTGCAACAAGAAGATACTCCTGTTATACGAAAGATAGAGCTAATTCAAGACTCCGAAACATCCAACACATGGTTGCTCCGATGTCTGTTCCAACTTTAGCTCATTGGGCGGCCGTGCTGCAAGTACTGGGCTAACAATTCTTCAGGAACTCCATGGAACTGGTGCAAGCTCGAGGCGAGCAGCAGCATAGGTGCCCAACACTCTGCTCCTGCTTGTCTTTTTCATGCTCGCCAGAGCCTCGGACACGAGAGAACATTTCGCAGGGTCCGCAAACCTTCCGCTTCCCACCTTCCATCAGCAGCTCTCCAACCTCCAAGAAAAGACGAAATGCGCTTGATCAACATTGATACGCTGGAACTGGAGGAGTTCGTCGGGCGAGAATTACCACCCTACTTCATTCTATCCCATACCTGGAGCGACGACGAGATATCATACCAGGAGTACTTGTGGCTCCAGAACCACGCCGAGGAAGCAAAGCTGGGCATCCTGGACGAGTTCCCTCCCAGACAGCGGGCCAGGCTTGAAGCCAAGAACACCGCGCTACGAGGTCGAAGTGGGTTTTCCAAGATCACCTCTTTCGTCGGGCTGTGCAAGAGGATACGAGATGAGGCCATCATCGCCAAGAGACCAGATCGAGAGAGGGCGAGCTATGCTTGGGTCGACACCTGTTGCATCAACAAGGAGAGCAGTGCAGAGCTCTCTGAAGCCATCAACACCATGTATAAGTGGTACTGGGATGCTCACCGTTGTATCGCCTATCTCAACGACGTCGATGACACCGACTATGAAAGTCACGGCTTTCGCCGGACCAGGTGGTTTACTCGGGGTTGGACACTACAGGAGCTGTTGGCTCCTGATGAGCTGGAATTTTACAACAGGAACTGGAATTATATGACCACCAAGTCAAAAGCGGCCTCTGCAATCCAAAGAATTACGGGGATTAGCTCTATGGCCTTTCGTAATAGAGCCTACGTGGACAGCAATTCTCGTTGCGTCGCCGAACGCATGTCTTGGGCCGCCAATCGAAAAACGACCAGGGTGGAAGACGAGGCGTATTGTCTAATAGGCATCTTCAAAGTCAATATGCCACTTCTCTATGGCGAAGGGGACAGAGCGTTCCAGCGTCTCCAGCAACAAATCATTGCCAATTACGACGATCAAACCATCTTTGCATGGGGTTTCGGCCAACCAGTCACTCTAATCCCCAGTTTCGAGGGCGTGCTTGCCCCATCCCCTTCGTCATTCTCTCATGGGGTCCAAAGAGCTGACCGCGATATGCCCTTCTGCCCATGGAATAACCTTCTTGAAACACCATACTCGATGGCAAACGTGGGTCTGTCCATCACCGTTCCTCTCTTTCGACTGCCCATCGTGGCGAACGGCGTCATCCGCACCTACGCTCTGCTTCCTGCTTACCTCTGCGGAGAGTATGCGATCTGTATGCCCCTCTGTCCGACGAGCCACCACGAGGCGCCTCTGGAAGATGTTCCGGATGGTGCTGTCTTCTATCGACCACGGTTGGAGTCTCCGATTCCGCTCCTCCGCGAAGATGAATTCGGCGCTGTCCAGTTCGTCCGCAAATCGATCGTCATTTCCAGCCAGCGACCATCCCACGGGCTTCGTACCAAATCATTCTCAAGCCCATATTTCAGCATATTTGTCAGCTTTTCGGGGGGATTGGGCTTCATAGAAGCTTGGTCTGCTTCTGCTTCCACGTACCCCATCATTCAAAAGAAAGTTCGTCTCTTTGGATCGGTTGAAACGCACCAGCGGGCTTGGCATCCGGCCTTTTTTCTATTCCAGAAGCGGCTAGAAGATGGCGGTAAGAAAGAGTATCTGGTTGCACTGCTTGTTGACCGGGACTGCCAGACTGTGCTCTGGGCGCGGGTTTTCAGCTGGAGGGAGACGCTTCTGAGCAACAAGATTTACCAGGATCATATCTCTCTAGCCGCATTGTTCCGGGCTGTCCCTAGGTTAACTGAGCGTGAGGCTTGGTCGAAGGACGCCATCCCAAGGGATGACCAAATCCAGATTCTAACAAAGATCCAAGAGGACTCGAGAGGGAGCAAAGTGATTTTCCTTAACTTGACGTAACAGATTTCGGGCTTATGACGAACGAGCCATCATTGGATTAGGGCAAGTCGGAGGTACGACGATAAATAGGACAGGAGGAGAAAGGCTCAGTCTTTTGGTCATGTAATGGCTTGAAAGGGGAGGTAGCCCATGGACGGCCAAGCCTCACAGTACGACGGCCAGGCGTGCTTGGCTTCATCACCAAATCTCTTATTGAACAGGAAATTGAACCTCCGGCCCCTGATTCACCATTATAGACTGTGACTGCGTAACGGGTTTGTTTACCATTACTAGGTTGCTAGGTACCTCCGCTCCACAAAGGGGTGGTACCGGGAACCAAAATAAAGACCCTTTGACCCTCTAGTTCTTCTTCCATAAGAAAACCATGGCGAGGCACCGAACGGGATCGTATTAGCTGACCTCAGCTCCTAGTTTCTGTGTGCAACACAACAGGGTCCGTAGAAAGAGCAAATCCAGCAGACATAGCTAGAGATAAACACCAGCGACACATTTGTCGAAAAGAAGCACACCATTTGTCTTCCGCCAAAGATCTTTTTATGTTACAGGTCGACGTCCCACTGAAAATCACTGCTTATCAAGGGTCACAGTGTAAGGTACGGAGTACAGGCCCCCTTTTTCCCATCGAAAAAGAATCCATGACCGTGAAACCCCTGAACCTCGCCAACTTCAGACCCACGACTCCAACTCGCTGAGTGAATATTCACATCTTATAAAGATCCGCAAGCCCTACCAGAAAAGCCCTATACAAGCCGCATACAAGCCGCGATGGATTCTCATATCCACAGAAATGGCAACGGCGGAAAGAAAACAACAGCAACCACGAGTCAACCTTAACTCTGCTGAATCCCCTCCGCCACCAACCGCATCAACCCCTCATTGCCCGAAGTTCTCAACCCACTCTCCCATATATCATGGATCTCTTCGCCACTCATCTCGTCCTAATCCGACTTCATATCTCGCTACATTGGGTCAATGACGGCCAGGATCGCCACGTCCGTCTGACCCCCAAGGTCTTCGCCGCGCCCCTCGTGGTCGAGAGCACCCTCAACTTTTGCGTCTCGCTCGATGACGCCTGTCGCAGCCGGTTCATCTCACTCGCGCAGTTTGGCTCCTTCGGCGCCGGGCTGATCATCAGGAATTACCGAACCCGCAGCTATTTTGTCTACGCCGGCTTCGAGGACTCGGAGCTGTCCATCGCCGGTCTCACCAACGAGGAGCTCATCAACCAGCTCGATTTCATATCCAGGCGTGGATATTACGACTATGTTCATGTCGACTTGGACGTCGAGGTGGCCGATAACCAGCCTTTTCCCCGTGCCCTCAGCGACATCCCGGAGGAAGGGGTGCATCAGGAGTGATTGATAACAGGACAGCCATAATCTGGAGACTAAGTCGCAGAGAATGAGACGGAGGAGATGGCACTGCTAAGGGCTCCTGGGCTGGACAAGACACTCCAAGAGCGTGCTAGGAAACACGGAGGATCACCAGTCTGGTCACACATCATGCCGGGAACGTAAATTAGATTGGTAGAATTCCACCACTCATTCTCCCATCTGCGTCCAACTTTGGTGCTGATCTGACTGACATTAACATCTCAAGCCTTTTCCCACGTGTTCCCTTCTCCATCAAACACCACCAAGATAACCCCCGCCAACAAAGCGCCTCGGCTACTAAACCCGAATATATCTACTGCTTGCACTCCACAGTAAAGCCCATAAACGGCATGGGCGTGTTGACGCAATACGCAGTCAGAAGCTCGCTATTCTCCCCTCCCAGAGTCGCGAAGGCGCTCGTGAGGCACTCCTTGTCAGCGAAAAGGTGGTACAAGCAATTGTTGCCGTCGGTTATGAAGACTGAGACAGCAGCACCTGCCGCGAAGTACATTTCAAGATCGAAGCAAGTCTCATGACTGCCGTAGCCGGTGATGGTTCTATTGTTGAAGTAACGGCAGTCGAACTGATCGTATGGTGTGAGGGACCAGGCAGGCTCGGTCCTGGAAGCATCATCAGTTAGAAAGGCTGCGACAGTCATAAGGGGCTTCGGGCTGACAAACCTTGGGAGGGCCATGGCCGAGGCGGCGAGGCCGAGGGAGATGAGAATGCTGTTGAGCTGCATCGTGGCTTGAGTTGTCGCTTGGCGAAGGAGAGTTGTGGAGCGAGAGATTCTGGAAGCGAAGGGGTAGTGGGAGCGAAAAGTTGGTGGAGGTGCTCGGCGTGACTGGTGAGATTGTTTCTGAGAGAAGACAGAGACTCAGCAACGTGGATGGGAGAGCGCTTTATATTCTTCGAGGGAGACAGATTCTTGGTCGGCGCTCAAGGAGGCGGCCCACTTGGATATCCCTCAGCCGTCGACTTATCTCCTCGCAGAGAGGAAGGTGCGAGTTTGCCCATGTCAAAGACGTCGGACGGAATCTGTGGCACCACAACCAACAAACCATCGTTCATGATATCCAGGATGCCACAAGCTGTCGTAACATGTAGGTAGACTAGGCATCCTGTCATCCACGACTATTTCCGCACTTTTCCCCCAAA